TATTAGGAGGGTGTGGTGTTCCTTTTGTCACTGTATAAACATAATATCTTAATTGTAATATAAATGCGAATGGTTGTTTATTGGGTGTTTTCAGAATAAGACAAGGGATCTCGATAAAAGGTTTATATAAAGAAGATATAAAATATAGTTTGGAAGAAAACGTAGACTACTTTAGAGTTCCTTTTTAATTGCGCAGATAAGTCGAGGGCAAATTTAGAATACATAGAAATAGTCAGTCGTAATCCGCATGCACCTTGCTTCCGTCGCCGCCTGTGCATCCTGTAGGTGCGGGGCTGGCGCGGCTGGCGCGGGGTGCGCGCGGGGCGCGCGGGGCGGCGAGCGGCCTGCAGCGGCCCTTCCAGCCGGTGCCCCACGGCGCGGCACCACCCCACGGGGTACACGTCCGTGCTGTGCGCCCACAGCCACTGGTCGTACTCCGACCCCCAGCCGTCGAAGTGTACCTGGTGTATGATGCAACATTTCAACCCTAATCTCATGCACCTCCATACTTTTACAAATTGTGCTTAAATTAATTGAAATAGGATCTCAGTATTCGCGGAGGTTGAATTCCGAAAATTTACAGAGGTCGAGAAGTCCACGTATGAATAATGAGAATGCGGAAATTGGTCACAACTTTAAACCCGTAAAGCGTGTAATCGCGAGTAACGGTATCTCCAGTAAAGTGATTCAACTGTACATACATCAAAAATAGAATAAACACACATAAAAGTGATTTTTGAAAATGCAATAATATATTACCTTGAGCAGATCAGCGACGACTCTGGCGACGGTGGCGACGCAGACGAGGCGCGGGTCCATGAGGTCTGCGCACTCGAGGCGCATGCCGGCCACGAAGCCGTGCGACACCACGTGTCCGCGCGCCGCGAACGCCGCGCGCCCCGCCGCCACCGCGCACCCCTCGCGCAAGTACGACTCCCAGCTGAACTCCTCTATGCTGAAACTGTACACGAACCACACGTCACATGGAAACTTTACACTCATACATCAGTACTATTTAGTGTTTTTCAAGGACATTTACTTATGCATGTTCAATATTAATTACTACATTTTGCTTGCCACTCCATCCGCGCGTTATTAAAAAAATGATTAAAGAGGCTGTGTTCTTCTAGAATATTTCCTACATGCGTCACTTTAATCAAAATCCTTTAAGCCGTGTTGAAGATACGCAGCAAACAACCATCTCACCAAACTTTACTTATTGGCAATGTTCAGAGTGAAAATTGAAAGTGAAAACTACTAAAAATAGTGCAAACAAGAATCTATAAACTTACCCTGCCGGGGGCACGAGAGGGATGTTGTTTGCCATAGCAAACCCTACTGGAAATATACAGGGTGATCTTTGATGATAGCAGAACCAGTCGGACCCAGTAGCATCTGCAGGGTAGTAGTCAATTCTTATCATCATGTATCCTTCATTTAATATCTGCATTACTGTAGCGGCACATATAGCAGATAAATTCAACGGATCTATCGCTTCTAACTTCATCCCTTCAGAGAACAAAGGTGGTTCATTGGTTGGGAACTTGTAGAACATGTCGGGTGTGGTATCGTTAGGCAACAGTCGTCCGCCTGCTACCCTCTGACAGTATCCCTGTGGTGCATCTAGAGAATGACCAACTTGGAATGCCCAACCCACCGGATGAATCAATGGGGAGTCCTCGTGACACCAAAAACCATTATCCTCTGGTGAACTATCATAATACTTTACATGTAACCTTTTACCTACTATCTCAGATACACTAGCAACCTGTAATTTTAACAAAATATATATAGTTATTATCACATTTTTAATATTCACTTTTAAACCCAAAAATGACATTAATTGACTAAGTAAAACTTACCTTAACTTGAGATATTCTATTTTTGTCTACCACTTCCATAATAGAACCAATAGAAAACCTCGATACCAGACTATCACTTAGTTTACTATAGAAATTAGCGGGTAAAGTACGAGCACCTGTTAACTGTTTAACTAGAAACCTGAAAAAGGCATATTATTAGTAAGTACAATGCTTCATCATTTAAAACTGTTTTTAAATTTATCTTAAGTTATTCTTTATTTGTAGTACACCTTAATTCTTCATTAGTTGTTGCTTGCGACAATGTCTATGTGAAATTAAGATATAAAATATGTAGCTTACTCATTGAAAAACGCTTTTTTAGTTGTTTTTAAGTTATACTAATACATATAAAAATACAAATTGTTCCTTATTTTAATTTAGTTTAGATATTAGATTTTAATTAGTATAGATTATCTTAGACCACATAAAAAAATTTACTACACCGCAGAAATTGTACAATTGAAATAGAGAGAATAATAAAAGATATCATACTTTTTCCAGTCAGTATATTTATCTTCTATACTCCTTGGTGGAATAAGTGGCTTCCCTCTTGTTGCACACCATCCCACTGGATGTACTTCAGAACAACACAAATTCACCCAGAAGTCTTTCGAATCATCACTACCAAATCCTTCATACCGTAGGAGCCCCATATAACCTTTGACCTACAAAAAAATATTAATTTAATTATTTTTCACTAAATTAAATATTCCTTATAACTACATATTTGATCAAATATGATATTTACCTTTAAGACAGAAGCTACCCAAAAGAAGTCATTATTTTTCTCAGAACAATTATCACAGTCAGTATTTTTAACTTCAACCTTCATGCCTTCAAAGGTGTTATCCCACATTTCATGTAAGGGGGCATGTTTAAATAGACTCACTGGTGCTGCAAGGAAATCACAACCAAACAACTCATCTTTCCATTCATAGGTATTTGCTATCAATGCTGCAGACTGCTTTATTGGTCCTGCCTAAAAATATTGTAAAAGTAAACATGTTTAGAATATCAAAAATTGTAACAAAAGTACTAAAAGTAGCTCAATCTCATTATTATTTATCAATTGTAATGAAAATTAGGTAATTTAAAACCTAATTGGTCCATTTTCAGTATGTTTAAAAATCTTTTAGTATTGATTAGTGGTTTAAATCTCTTTTCTAGTTAATAAGTTATCTACAGAACATACCTGTAAATCAGTGAATGCAGCCTGCCAATGTTGCAGTTGTGGGAGAGGTTCTAATGGTATTAAGCCTGCCATGTGATCAGCTCCTTCCATCAGCTCAAATTTCCAGTTACAGTCTCGCTTTCTCTTTTTACTGGTGTGGCATCTCAATGAGCAAAATTGATTATTGCGGTGATAAAAATGACTGCGACGCCCCACTCTTCCACATAACTCACATAGCGCTGTAACATTGATTCTTCAATTTGTTTCTATACTTGAAGCACCAATATAAACCTAACTATGCAATAATAACATATTATAACAAAACCTTTTTTTAATCCATAAATTAAAAATGAAATGGATCTTGGTTAAATTAACTATCCAAAGTAAAGTTTAAAGTTTTTTGATTTCATTTATGTATAAATTAATTACTAATAATGATGATGTCTGCTGTAGTATCCGTCAACGGCGAACCGTGCTGCATTTGATAGTGCGATCGGAGATAGCTAATACTCTACATTTATATAAATAAAGCAGCCAAAAAGATATGTAAAATTGATCTTTTAGAATGACAACAACGGGAAGAATATGTTCAGTATTAATTACTTACTAAATGTATCTTTATCAAAGGGTACTATGGACAATTCGTCTGCAACATCAGTATCTTCAATTATGTCCGCTGAATTATTCGTATTTACATTGGAGCCGGCATTGAGATAAGCCATATTTATAAAGCCATAAACAAATATTCACCACCGTGGTTGTAAACACGGCAATATTCATGACTTAAATATTCTTTTGACAGGTGTTGAAACACCATCTTTACCTTTAAAATGTAAAGGGAAAATTAAAAAATACGTTCCACGATTAGATTTTTTCGCTACGACTAATTGTAATACAATTTCTATAAAAGTAAATTAAAACTTAATTAACTTTAACATTCAATTTCAATATCACAAGCACCATAACCAATATAGCACGATAAGCACTATAGATAATATACAATCGAATCATAATCACAGATAATCACACAAAAAACCACAGACTAGCAAACTAAATCGATGCCCAAAACAGAGTATAAAACAAGTATAGTATATGCTTATAGTGCGATCGTCAGTTCTCAATAAAAAAAATCACTAGCCACACAAGCAATGTCTACAATCTACATACACCAGCAAACTCTCATGTCCATTTTGCTTAATACTTTTAATTTGATTTACATAAATACCGTGCCGCGAGTCAAGCTCGTCTCACGTAACATACCTTTAAACATTATATAATGAGGATTACATGCCAAACTTTATTTCATCAATTCTCTTGACAACATTTAAGATAAACTAAAAGAAAGTTGGAATTTTCTCCTGTTTTAATATTTGTTTTTGTGAAACTAGGTTTTAGATTTTAAAAATAAAAAGTACATACACTTAATGAATAAATACAAATAAGAAAATAATAGATCTTAATAAGTTATAGTTTTTACTTTGACTTAATAAAGATTTAACTTCTTTCCTTTGGTTAACTTCACAAGTACATTTTTTTGTAATTTAAATATTACTAAGCTACAAACTAGTTAAACATTATTCTTCAAGGCTGTCTTGTTCTTCTGGAAGTGCTTTTTCTTTTAGTTGAAGTTCAAAAAATTGTTTTCGATGTATCAATGCTATTCGCGGCTGTCTTATACCATAATTTTCATTACCCATTTTAGTATATTTCCGCTCCCCCTCACTTCCCATTAACTCTCTTAGTGCTTGGTTACGCTGTAAAAGTTTCTCATAGAATATAACACCATTTTCCACATATTCAGGACCAAGTTCACATAATTGTTTGTCAACATCTGTCTCATAATGTACTTCTGTAAGATCCTTCATGAGGAAATAGGTTCCAACTCCAAATAAACCTACAATAGTATACATGGTAGATCTGACCAATGGGTGGGCTGCATACAAATTAAGTCTCTTATTTAAATATTGGCAAAGGTTGTACACAAAAAATATAGACATAAATGGATAGCATGATTCAAATACCACTTTGTTATTATTGGCCATTAGAATTTCTCTGCAAATAGCAAATTCTTGCACCTTATCCGGAAGAATGAGTGCATTAGCTAGTTTTTTTCCAAGTTCAGACTCCCAGTTTATGTTTTTTTGATTTACCTGAAATTTATAATATATTTTTACAATTTGAAGTCTACATTTTTATAAATGTGACAAAAAATATTTATCAACCTGAATACTATCTTTTTTAATGTCATCCACAGAATTGTAAGCAAAGTTAACAGGGATTCCAATTGCTACTCCAAATTTTGAACTTGTACTGCCTGTAAAATGTTAAAATAATTATGAATATATATTGTACATAGAAGATGGCTAGACTTCATTAATCTTAACTTTCACAATAAATAGTGCCAACATATACCTGCATGGAATAAGTCAAAACCAAAAACACTAAATGGTTGGATAAGTTTCCTGTGTGTATCTGTCAACTTTAAAATTTCAAGGCATTTATCATAGCGTGATGATAGTTCCCTTGGAATTCCAACTCGCTCACCATCTCTAAAACATTGTGATGAGTTAGACATGGCGAAACTTTTTTACAAATACATGTAAATTTTATTATTTGAACTTACTTGTAATAATGTACAAAATCTTTGTATTTTTCTAGGAAAAGGGTTTGTGGCATAAATCTAGCACAACTTAGTGCAATCCCAGCACCGGTAACAATAGCAAACGAAAACTTACGACCTTTTTCTGTTATAAACCAAGAAATGGGCTTTCGTGTAGTCATTTTATAAGCTTACAAGCAGATGACAACTGTGTTTAATTAGACAGCTTTAAATTTAAGTAGAAATATTACGTAAATAAATTTTACTAAAATCAAAAATAATCACAGTCCCCCTAACCTAACCTTGTCATTTGTCAATTGTTATGTCAATTCAATGTCATTGTTAACGTCAAAGAGCCAAGACGTTTGATAACATCTACAAAACCGTTTGGAAATAAATTAGTTTGCTTACTACTGAGTTTTATATAAATTGTTAATTGAGTACCAATACTTTTTGATTGGGTCTACAGTGATTGTGTTACGTTTTACGGTCTACTAGAGGTTTGAATAACGTGGTATCAATACAAAAATAAACTTGGTAGAATGCCGTCGTATCGTTCCACCAAATTATCGGTTCGGATCGTACATCCCTAACCCTAAAATGTAATGTCAAAATTGACAAATGCTGTTGAGGTAAAATTGTAAACAAATATAGTAATCAATAATGAATTGATAAATATTGATCTAAAATAATTTTTTCTGTTCTAAAAATATTCCATTTTTATGACATTACAATGTACGAAATCCTGAATAAAATCGAACTATTACAATTGTATAACCTAAGTGAAGACTGGGTAAAAGCAATATTTGATTCAGAATTCCTTGAATTTGAAGAATTACCCGCAGAATATGAAAATGGATGTCAAGATTCCGAATTACAAAATATCTGTCTCGAGATAATGCTATCTATAGATTCTTGGGTGAACTCGGAGCCAACTAATAATGAAGAAAAGTCATGGGCTAAACTGTCGCACGAAATACAACATGAAAAGCTTTTAGCAATCCTGGCTTACTATATTGACTATGGGAACAAAAACTTGATAAACAATGAGTCTCGTTATAATGCCTTGTTGGCTTCACGTTTATATTATAAATTGCTTGCTATTCCTGGATATAAAGCTTATCACATATATCATTCCCAACTGTTTGTTAATTCATTGGTTTGTTTATGTTTTCCAAAAACATTATGTGAAAATGAAGAAAGCTATTTGAACATTCGTGAATTAACCCGTGAAGTTAATGATACATTAAGAGCCTTACAAGAATTTGCTAGAGATTTGAGTATAGTCATACAAACATTACAATTAAAACCGAATGATATGAATTTTGAAGATATATTGAGTAATTTAGTTGACATTACTGGTGGAGCTATTGTTAAGAAATTGAATGTAGGTAAGTTGGAAGTATCAAATACATTTAGCCTAAATTTAAGTAAAATAAATGTAATGTGGCAATCAAATAGTTAAGACAAATATTTAAGTAAACAACATTTTTGGGGGTAATACTTAACAAAATACTTTTTTGAAAAAAACAATATTAGCATGGATCAGTAGAGCAAGAGAATTAGACATTTAATACAATACAATTATTTATGTATTATTTAACTATATGTTTTTAGATAAAGTTCAAGTGGGAAATTTATCTGCAAGTATTTACAACATGATAGATATCTTAGTTTGTGATTCAAAAGGAAGTCCTAATCGAGAAGCTGTCCAGGTTCTCTTTAAATGTCTTTTGCCGAAGCTTGTGGCAGCATCTACTGATTCTCGGAGCAGTAATGTAAGTAAAACAAATAACTTAGTATATTTTATATTACAACATATTTGTCACCAATTATTAAATTGTAATTCTCATAGTAATTGATTTTTTAGCAAGATTAATACTTTTATTTCAGAATGTTGTGAGAGCATCATATGTAACATACTCAGCACTACTTCTAAGTAAATTTGGAAAAGCTGCATTGCCTGGTTACACAATTTTACTGCAACACCTTTGCTACACATTAGAGGGACTGGTATGTAACATAGAATATAAAATATTCTGTGCATAATAGTACAAATGCTCATAATCATGATTTATAAATTCAGTGAATCTTATATAATAAGAAAATTATACTTCAAAGCCTTTGATGCATATTATCATACACTAGCTTTCGCCTGTGACTCTGTGCATGTGGAATTAAAAGAACTTAGTAAATAGCCCGTGTCTTCTAGCATATGTTCTACATCTGTACCAAATTTCATTAATATTCATTCAGCAATTTAGGCTAAAATCTCAATTTATTTATATAAATATTAGCAAGATATCTACTGAAATAAAAATTAATCCCTTGGTATCTGGACCAGGTCTTTTTCACTGGAGATACTGACTTTTTCCTTGTGGCATCGTCCAAATGACATTATGAAAACTATTTTTTATTATTAACATTCTGTAAAATTTTTGATTTAACTCACCCCTTTGGTGTAATAGTGTAAAAAATATATAAATAATGAATATAGATATAGATATATTTAACTCCATGCCACTGACATTGATGTATCACCATCATATTACAAAATAATAATATTGTGTAACAAAACAACATAAATTTAAAATAATTTTTAGGAGCGTGCTGAGGTCCGTACTGCTCGTATGTCTCTCGTACTTGGTTTGATGAGTCTTCTGCCCAAAAGGTCTTATAAGGATTTTATAAAATGGATTCTGAAATTATCAAGTACATCAAAAGTGTCCCACAGGCAAATAGCTGTGGTAAGTTAGATGTACTTTTTAACACTCAAAACAAGTAAAGATTAACTAATATTAGTTACTAGCTGTTACCGTGCCGCTTCATCTGCATGATATTATGTAAAATTTCATTTTATTTTTTGCATTTGACAAATTACCAATTGCAATTGTCACAATGACTTGACATGACAAACCTTTACAATCTTGTTTTCTTGATGTTGGCAGCAACTTATGGTCTCTTTCCCACATTAGGGTTTTCATCCAAAATATTTACCCCCTAAGTTTAATGGCGTGAAAATGTATAGTCTATAGCATTATTCAAAAATATGCTGCAATTGCTGACATCTTAGGCAACAAAGTAGTGTGTGTTTACGCTTTATTGTAATAGTATAGATAAAATGTCTCAAGAAACTTTAATTAATATAATTGAGTAAAGATTGTTTAATTTATGTAACCACCACAGGCCATAATAAGGTCTGTCATTATTTAATTTATGAATCGGACTTATATACATTTTGATTGTTCTAAAGAGAAAGTAATCTTTGATGTCATTAACGGGTTATAATAGTAATCTCTTCACCTTGCATTCATACCAGTTCTTAAGATATTTACGTTTATTTTCAGGAAATATTGAGCAAACTTCTTAATAATGATCCAGAGGAAGCAGTTGGAAATGAAAATTTAATGGAAAATCAAAACAGAAGTGATGCTGGTAGTTTTTTTTTAAATAACAAAAAGGATTCTTATGGTTTAACAAATAAACTGGAATAATGTAATTTATAAATTTTCAGATTCTGGTATTCAGGATTCTAGTTTATTGACGACCAATGTAGACGAGGTCTCCACTCTCAGTCCAAACGCAGTTCAAAATGTTACTAATGGAGGAAATTATGAAGATGTCAATCCATCTGTAAGTGATCAAACATTGTTATAAAAAAAATTATAATAAATCAGTTATGTCTTAATAAATAAAATTCAAGTTTTAAATCAATAACAGACAAATAAAAAACTCATATAACTTTGAAATTAAAATAATGAAAAGCTTTTATTGATTCCTTACAAAAAAATACAGGTTACTATAATAAGATCTTAGTTTAAACATTTTGAAATCTAACAGTAGGTACTTATTAACTTAATAATTAGACAATTAAAAGTGGAATGTATAGTAACATTATTAATACTTTAAAAAGGAAACTTACATGTACTTTGTTATTTGCTTCAGGATACCTAAACCAAAGATGAAATAAAAACCTAAAAAAATAGCATTATCTACAAATAATTTATAAATTTCCATTAAAGGATATACTGAAACCTTATAATGTCTTACATAAATTTGAGCAATGTTCAATTAGTAACATTTTAGCAGTTATATGTATATTTTATATATAATTGTATCGTGTTCAGAGGCAACAGGAGCAAGATGCGGTGCTGGAGGAGGAGGATGACCTGAGCCAGGTGCTGCAGGCGCGCTCGCACGCCGCGCCGCACGCCGCCATCGTGCGCGCGCTGTACGACCGCGCGCACGACGTGTCCAGCACGCTGCGCATGCGCGCGCTCGCCGTGCTCACCGACTGCGTCGACAGCACGCACCCGCCGCTGCAGGACGCTATAAAGGTAACCTCATATTTTCTCATATATGTAATTAAAAAAGCACTAGCGGCACATCATTCAAAGATTTCTTACTTCTTACTTAATATTATAAATGCGAAAGTTGAGATAGATATATGGATGTTTGTTTGTTAGAGTTTGTAGCCTAAACGGCTGGAGAGATCTCCATGAAATTTGGTTTGGCTCCATGAAGTTTAAGCGCGTGGTTGACTATGGCTTAGTCACCCGTTACTTAGGGTAGCTTTCGAGCCCCTCGTTGCGGACTTATAGTGGTGATGATGATGATTATATTTTGTGTGGTGTGCACGCGGTGTGATCAGAATCTGAACGGCGCGTGCGAGGTGTCGCGGCTGACGGCGCTGGCGGGGCGCTGCGTGTGCGACGAGCGCGCCGTGGTGCGCCGCGCCGCCGCCGCGCTCGCGCACCGCCTGCTCGCCGCACAGCGCGCGCACACGCCCAACGACCTCGCAGTAATCTCACTCAATACTATTATCTATTTAAACTATAAATCACACTGACAAAATATTTTACATGACCGATTAAAGGAGGAATTAACTTTGATTTTATAGAATCTTATATAAATATTTTTATTATTTTTGTATGTAATGAAATAACTCAAAAACTACTGGTCCGATTTAAAAAAATCTTTCCCCATTAGAAAGGAGATTTATCAGTGAGTAACATAGACAAATGTTTTATTACTTTTTAATATCAAGAGGACGAAGTCGCAAGCAATAGCTAGTCTTTTATAAATATGACTTTAATAGTTGTAGCGAGTTGACTTGTATCGAATTTAAACTATTTTATATATAATATCAATACATATTTACGCAAATAATGTAATTGTAACTACCGTAATTAACTTAAACACTCAGAGTTACTGGTCCCGCCAAAATGGCGCGCTATTCTCAATTTACTAAATGACATTGACAGATGTCAGATCTAGTGTTGCGCCAATCCTCTAGTGCAGTTTTCTGCAGCAGATTGTCTTCGTAACAATACATAAACTGGTCGATATCCCGCATCAATTTTAATATTGCAGTTTCAAAAATCTTGATCCCAAACGAGCATCGTCAGCTAAAGATCTACGCAGGTGTAGGGATGGGCATATTATATTCTTAATACATTATAACAAAACTACCAGGTTCTCATAAGCTTATGCCGGGACGCGAGTATAATAGTGCGGTCGACGGCCATCACGGCGTTGGGCGAGCTGGTGACGCAGATGCCCAGCGACGAGCTGCTTGATGCCTTCCTCTCCGGACCTATGCACCAGCTCTCGGACCCAGAAGCTAAGGTGAGAAATTAATCATATACATACGCTCACGGACTCGCATGTAAACACACCTAAATATGCAAACATATGTGCAATATTTAACATCTTTACTAATACTAGCTTTTATCCGCGTATCTATCCGTGAATGGAATTAAAATTCCAACTCTAACAAAAATCCATACATCCATTAAATTTCGCATTTATATTTTTAGTAAGATTGTGAAGTAGAAAGGTTTGTATTCTTGTATGTATTCGATTTTAAAAAAAATCTTTTACCATTACAAAGATACTTTATACCAGACAGACTATATTATTTTTCTCAATCGCTAGTTAGGTATATAGTCCAAAGACATTCAAAAAACATATCAGTATCTGTGTGTCATACTAATATTATAAATGCGAGTTTGGATGGATGGATGGTTGTTTGTTAGAGTTTGTAGCCTAAACTGCTGAACGGATCTTAATGAAATTTGGAATAGATATAGAAGATAGTCTGGAAGAACACATAGGACTAACTTTTGTTTTTTTTTTTAATTCCACGCGGACGGAGTCGCGGGCGAAAGCTAGTCTTGGCGTGTCTATAAATTGAGATCCTATCGTACAAAGTACCGGTAAAAATGTTGTTCCCTGACCAGTCTATATAACTCTTCACTGTCTTTATAATTATTTGTTTTTTTTTTTTTAAATAAAGGTGCAAGATCAAGTGGTGACGCAAATCCAGCAAATCCTGTTCGATCGTTTGCACACGCACAGCGGCGTGGCGGCGGAGGACGCGCTGCCCTGGATGTTCCTGGCGGCCGTCGTGCGGAACAACATGCGCAGGCACTTGCAGAAAGCCTGCACCTTACTGCACAACACATCCAAACACATTAGGTAATTGCTTTTTTTGTTTTGGCATACTTTACCCTGCGACTCTTTTCGCTCGGAATTAAAAAAAATTGGTAAGTAGCCTATGAGTTCTTCCATCTATCCAATTTCTAGTTCCGTCGAGCTATTTAAGAGATACCTTCTAACATCCATCCACATACTTTCACTGTATTTTATTTTTGTGTAGCAGATTTCTTTTTAGCTTTTTTTCTATTCTTATGTATCCTAAGTATTATTATTAAAATGAAATCTGTTATTTCTTTCCATATCTTACTAATATTATAAATGTGAAAGTTTAGATGGATGGATGGATGGATAGATGGATGTTTGTTAGAGTTTGTAGCCTAAACGGCTCAACCGATTTCAATAAAATTTGGCATAGATGTAGAGGACGGTCTGGAAGAACACATAGGCTACTCACTTTTGATTTTTTCAATCCCACGCGAACGGAGTCGCGGGCGAAAGCTATATGAATATTTTTTTGTATTTTTTCAGCAACCGTTTAATAGAGATAATAAAATCTCACTTGGGCAAGGTGAGCGCCGCGCGCGACCTGCAGTGCCTGGCGCTGCTCACCTGCGCCGCCAGGCAGCTGCACTGCGAACAACTGCACTTCCTTCTCGAATACTTCTATAAACTAGAGGATGATGCACAGGTAACACTTACTGCTTTGAACTTATAGTAGACGGTAACTTATTATTGACTAGCTGTTCCTTTCATCTGTATGGTAATTTTTAAAAAATGTATTTGTTTACCGTTGCCGTGGCAACCTTGCTTCTTTGTTGCTATTGGCTTGTAGTTTTTGTCCCTTTCTTGTATAACTATTTTTTCAATTTATTCAGTCCCTTAATTAGATAGCTTGAAAACATATAGCCTATAACGTGCTGTAAGTGTATTGCTTTTTATCACAAAAAGAATTATGCAAAAACATACTGTGATTGCTCACATTCTATATAACAAAGTAGTAGCCTCATTATAATCAGTATATAAGTAATTTTTTAATTAATTTGGATTTAAATAAATAACGTTTTTGTATTGAAAAATGCATTTACTGTATAACAGAAGCCTGACGTCCGCATCGTGGCGATGACATTGGAGATGCTGACGCTGTGGTCGCGCTGGCTGAGCGCGGAGCAGCGCGAGGCGCTCCGCCAGCACCTGCTGCAGGCGCTGGCCGCCGCCGCCACACACGACGATGGTAAATAATACTGACAAACATACCAAGCCTGTAGCCACCTAAATCATATATGTATATTATAAATGCGATAACTTAGATGGATAGATTTTTGTTAGAGTTTGGACCGTAAACGGATTTCTATTTAGTCGTGTAATTCCATTTAAAGGTTGCAGACCCGATCGCGTCACTCTAGCGGCTCACTTGGACCCAAATAATTTGGAATGGGCGTCGCATCTTATGAAAATCGGTAAGTTAAACAAACAGTTATGTTGACTTATTTTCATTAATATAATTTATTGTAAAATCATTATCAACTTGCCCTTGCTACAGATAATCCGCACAGTATGTACTGCTCTTCCATTAATCTCTATCGTCATATTTGAAATTACTCCTTTTAAGCATATCCTCTTTCACACAATCTATATATACTTTCTTGTTTATGTCTTTATCTCGCAGCATATGTCCATTACCACGATAACTTTTGGCTTCGCTATAACTGGCACTACTTTCAAATTTACTTTAATACACAGGTCTATTCACCATAATAATAAATATACTGGATATTTGTAACAATATATGATTATGTATTTCCTACACAAAAACACACATACAAAATGTATATAATTTTCTTTTTTATGTATTGATTTTCACAAATGGTGAAGGGATTAGCACACAGGGGAACCTAGTTCAGAATCCAAGGCACTCTTGAAAGGTATATTTATAATGTTAAGAACAAAATTAGTACCGTGCGGTAGAATTGGCGCAACTCTAGATTATCGGCATAAACGTCACGTCCCTAGCTGACAGCTGTCAATGTCACTAGAAGTATGGATAGATTGGCGCGCATCCTAAGTCCTGACGAGAAGTGTTGCTCTGAGTTTAAAGCGACAGTATCAATTAAATAAGTTGTCTAAAAATAATTAAAGTGGAATAAAGCATTTATTTATGAATTGTCTGTACGTGCAGCGGAGTACCGCGCGGCGGGGGGTGGTGAGGGCGGTGGCGCAGTGGCGGAGTGCGTGCGCGCGGCGGACCTGTCGCTGGTGGCGCCCGCCGCGCCCTCGCCCGACCTGCTGCACTCGCTGCTGCAGCGCATACAACACCCCACCTCAAGTAACTATTCTACTCGGTCTATTGTATTGCATTTTCATGTTTTATCTTACTCTGTGAAAGTGAATGGGTTTTATTGTCAATGAGCAAGTTCAATTAACTTTTGAATCGTGTATTCTTACATAAAAACTGGCATTGAGAATGGCAGTTTCATTTGATTTTGACAGTTTTAGATGGATGGATGGATGTTTGTTAAAGTTTGTAGCCTAAACGGCTGAACGGATTGCGATGAAATTTGATATACATGTAGAGGATAGCGTGGAAGAACACATAGGCTATTCATTTTTTTAATTCCACGCGGACGGAGTCGCGGGCGAAAGCTAGCATATATATAATAGATTGAGGTGAGTGTAACTTGTGCAGGCGAGGTCGGTGAGGGCGGTGAGGGCGGTGAGGGCGGCGAGGGCGGCGCGGGCGATGTGTGCGAGGTGAGCGCGTGCGTGGTGGCGGTGGGGCGCGTTTGCGTGCGGTCCCGCGCCGCCGCCGCCGCCGCCGCGCCGCCGCTGGCCGCGCTGCTGCGGGACGCGCGCGCGCCGCTGCCCGCACGGCTCAACGCGCTCCTCGCACTCACAGACATATGCATCAGGCGAGTCTGAAACACACACATACATATTTGTAGTAAACGCGACTTGTGTAGAGACAGACAGACAATTTTCGTTATCAAAAACGCAAATATACATCATCTTCCGGAAATCTGGAATTTTTCTTTTGGTACAGAAACTCCAAATTAAAAATAAAATAGATACTCCAATTTTATTATCTGCATCTTTCATTTTAGCCTTTACTCGGTTGTCTTTTTTCGTCAAAAAAGTAATTATAGCATGTATAAGCAGATACGCGTGCATTGTGGAGCCGCTGCTGGGCTCGATCAGCCAGTGCGTGGAGGTGGGCACTGCGGCCGCGCTGCGCCGCGCCGCCGCGCGCGCGCTCACCCGCCTGCTGCTCGCCGGCTACCTGCGCCTGCGCACGCCGCTCTACTACCGGTACACCACTACACCACTACACCACTACACCACTACACTACGCTACATTCTTATATTGGCCTAGCAATCAACTGGCACGTAAACGCTAACTGTCGCCAGTGAATCCATAACTGGCCAACTGTACTGACCAATTGTGAATCGCCCATTTTTTGAGCTGTGAACCGTAAAGCATAATACTGAATCTTGAGTAGTCAAATCAAAGACTAGACAGAGTGAACATTTTTCACCGGTAACTTTGAAAGTTTACGTTAGTTTTCAAGTTTAGTACGCGGCTTTATGTCCTTGTATTGACATGTTGCAAAACATTTTAAAATTAAAACATTTGAATATGATTTAGTGACGTGTCGATTTGTCCTATTAATAGATAGCGTTAGTGGATGTAATAATGTCTCTTGTGAAGTGCGAATTATGCTTCTTCTACATATTTAAATCTCTGAGGCAAGTACAAGAAGAACCTAAGTTGTATTGTGTTTTTTTTTATAACATAAGGTAGCAAACGAGCAAGCGGCCACCTGAATCCGTCAAAATGGCGAAGCAACCGCTGCCCATAGACATCCGCAATTGCAGATGCGTTGCCTACCGTCGGCCGGAGGAAACACACATAAAGAGTATATTTCCCCTTCCTATGCATCTCCTCCACTGTCAAATCCTCTTCCTCTATCCATCCTCTTATAAGAAAAGGGTGGTAAAGAGAAAGGGACTAAAATTAGGCTTCCGGCACCACACTCATCAGACGAAACACGGAATTACTTATATTTGACGCCTGTCTTCTGTGTGGTCGTGGTATTACACCGGGCGTGCTGGCCCTGCAGTGCTAACATGTTAAAGCGGGCACTAACACTGTTTGATATAGTTGTTTGTGCGTGTGCAGCTACTGCGCGCTGCTGGCGGACGAGGAGCGCGAGGTGCGCGAGCCCGCAGAGTACTACGTGAGCAGCTGCCTCACCGCCGACCACATCTACCACCACTTCGTCGACTGCCTGCTCTACTACAACAGCGACGAAGGTTACACAATTAACAAAAATTATAACCAAATACAAATTAAACTCTTTGGACAATAATGTCATATTGAAAGCGGCATCTGCACAAGAGAATGTCGGTATTTTTAATTTCTAGTATGATCTAAAGAAAATAGTATAAAGTTTGGTTTTTAACACGAACTCTTCCCGTGCGATTTCATCCGCATGAAGTTATAAAAGAAAATGGCTGTTTATATTTGTAAAATGTTCAATAGCAAATGTCATAATTCGATTTCACAAATAACAATGAAGGCCAATCCAATGTCATAGGATAATATTTACTGTTACATTGGCAACCTTGATGTTGTCAACTTGTAGTTTTTGGTCCCTTTCCCACATGAAGGGTTTTGCCAATTACCTTAACCCGTGACAATATAGCCTACAGTGTATCGTATGTGTAGAGCTTTTTAACAAAAAAAACAGTTATTCAAAAACTGTGATTGCTGACATCCTACATAACTAAAGGTCTGTCCAATCACTGGCTGATAGAGACTTAGATAGTACTAAAATGACATCACCGTCAGATAAGGTAACAAAATGCGATATTTCCATGACATTGGTGGGCCTATGGTACACTGGCAAGGGTAGAGCCGCAGCGGGGTGCCTGAAGGTGTCGGTGTGCAGGCGGCGGCGTGTCGTTCTCCGCGCGGCAGCTGGTGTACGACGTGATGCTGCAGCGGCTGTCGGCGCTGCAGAAGCTGGGCGTGCAGGGGCGCGTGGCGCGCGAGGTGGTGCAGCACGCGGCGGCGCAGTGCGAGCAGGGCGCGCTGCCCGACGCGCTGCACGCCGCGCTGCTCGACGCCATCACGCTGCTCTGCGGCCCGCGCATGAAGCTGCCCAGTAATCTCACATTGTCTTATATCTACACTAGTTGTTGCCCGCGACTTCGGCCACACAATATTAAGATAAAATACCTTATAATATGCCCGTCTATGTCACCAAGCTTCAGTGAAAGCCCAGTTGAAATCGGCCCAGCCGTTTCAGAGGTTACCCGGAACAAATGCGGCTTGCGGATAGATATATAGACAAACAAAAACTTGTTTTTTAACTTTTTCGTTATCTGTAACGCAAATACATCATCTACCCGAAATCTGTAATTTTTCCTTTGATATTTACATTCAATTACACGTGATACATTTAATATTAAAATAGCAATATTTTAAAAAATAACAAATGAAGACGTATTATTGACGGATAAAGGCAGACATGTTTTTGAAACCAAATGATATACAGGTTTATAAAGTTTTACAAATTTACGTATACAGTTGACTGAACAGTTGTACAGTAATCCAAACATGCCATGGAATATATAGGTTCACTGGCACTAGTTATTTTTTACATTATGCCAATTAAACGCCAATGTGGTTAAAACGCTACTGGCCTACTTTACCTGGCTTAATGTAAAAACATTTACCTTTATGAGGTAGTCACAAGTTTACATTCTTCAAAGCATTCTTTAATACAAAATTTCTGATAAATTTTTTATTTGGTAAACATTTTAATAGTACATCGACCAGTATAAATTGGAACGTGTGCCCTTTTTAAATGACCTTGTTGTCTCATTTTATTTTACAAAATAAAAAAAAATTAATCTGATACCATATACGTCAATTAAAACTCCACAACATCAGCAATAATTTTATTTTTCTATAGGACATATAGCATGACGGCCACCGTCTACTGGTATTGTAGCCCCTGTGATGTTACTGGCAACATCGCTGGCTAAAAATATTATAACTGAAGCAACTTCTTTACTCTCACCCGCACGCCCTAAAGCATGGGTGTCGACACATTTCTTCAAGAACTCTTTGTATTGCTCTTTGTTCATGGTAGATTTCATATGAATACCGGTTGATATTACACCAGGATTTATAGCGTTTACTCTCACGCCTTTAAGACCTAGCTCCAGAGCGATACATCTTGTAAACTGATCCAAAGCAGACTTTGACATACAATACGCTAAAACAGTTGGAAATGATCTTATACCAGCAATACTTGATACGTTCACAACTGACCCTTTCGTTTTAATGAGATGGGGAACTGCCAACATAGTCAAATAATATGCTCCCCTAACATTTGTGTTCATCACTCTATCGTACTGCGCCAAACTGGTGGTTTCTATCGATCCACTTTCTAGAATCCCAGCATTGTTTACAAGAATATCTAATCTGCCAAATTTCTCTATTGTACTTTCCATGACATTGTCTACGTCGGCATCCACGTTTATATCAGCAATTATCACCAGAGGTGCTTGTTTACTTCCAGTGCCTTCTTCACATTGTTTGGCGACATTTCCTAGGTTTATTTTGTTTCTTCCAGTAAGAACTAGTTTGGCGTTAAGTTTTGCAAACTCCACAGCCGTTTCTGCACCAATTCCAGAACTAGCTCCAGTTATTATCACGACTTTGTCGGTGAACATTTTATCAGCTAATTTAATTAAGACATGTACAAATGTCCAATAAGTTTGAAAATGATTAGATTATATTTAAGACTAGATGTCTAGAGCAAGGACTTAAAAGTACTAGTTTTATTATGCACAATTTTTTTTTTGTATAGCGATATAAATTTAATCTCACTCGGAGCTGTTTGACCTTAGTTGGTATAAATATTTTGAATGTTAATGTAAGTTAAAAGATAGTATTTATGGTATGAAAATATATTTTTTATTTCCATTCTATTGTATAATACATTTACGTTATTTCATAATAATATTCGCATTCACAAGGCTCCATTCCAGTATTTTTGCTTGTTGTAGGAAATAATACTGTCATCTTATAATAGACATAATATATATGTTTTGTTTAGGTATTTCAACAGTGGAACCTCACGGTTACCAATTGACGATTGATGTTACAAATCACTCAAAGTCAAATTATAATTAAAATAGAACAAGGCAAGCTAAAGACTACGCTAATGAAAAGGCATTATTTACGACAGTTCAAAACTATCGTAAATAAAATAATAACATAAAGCCCTTGTATTTCACAAATTGCTTATTGTTAACTTATTTAAATTAATTTAATGATAGTGTTTCATATGTTTACATACTCACACTACATAAATCACTTCACAAAAACTATGAAGTACATCCAACAGCGGATCCCGGGGATGGGTGGTTTATGGGGGTCATGACCTTCCCCCCTGAGCTGGTTGGTAACGAGCTCGACAAAATATATTTACATATTTTGTCAAGCTCTTAACTTGACCACGACCATCTGACCCCCCCCCCCTGGCGCCAAAGTTGGATCTGCCCTTGAGTACTTCTACACTCTGCAAAAATACTGGTCAATAAAACTATTTTTTTTTTCTGGTTACGCTTCAAAATAAGTTCGTGGCTTGTACTATACGGTTAACTACAATTATAATGATCGAAATCAAAGTCCTCTAAAACTATATGTAATATGTTGGTATACATTTACGCAATGTAACTTTTATTTTATTTTTCAGAAAAACCACAAACTACGGGTGACACAGCGGACATAGACGACCTCACGGAGAGAGTTACCAGCAACATAGTCTCGTATGTAAGTATCAGATCTTTTATACAAAATAACATTTATATGCTAAGTTTCTTAGCTAAATATTCAGCAGGTAATCCTGTACTCATGATAAATCAATAGATATCATAATAATTTTGCATTTAAATGTTAAGATGCCCGAGGATCCCAGAGTAAAAGTAAGTTATTTCATAAACCAATATACCTTTTTATTTTTGGTAAATGTTTTCAGCAATTTTGCTTTTATAATTTTATTGGAAATCGCATTATTTTTTGTTATCTTTTACCAGCTTTTGTAAGTTTTAAATAAATTTTTAATATCCGCCATATTTCTTCAATTGTCGATATATAACCGTTATTTTTACATTTTGATTTATTTAAAACTTAAAATATTCTGATTGTTTTAATAAATGTCGCTTAATAGTTCTTTTTTATGTTAATAGATTCATTTTGTTAGATAGCAGTACCTAGTTTTGTTTTTTTTTTATTTTTTGTTTTAGTAATAGTTACGCACCCAAAATACGTTTTTATTAAAATTTAGTAAATGTGTAGTAGTTAGTATTTTAAGTTTATGTATCTGAAACTAAGCATGTATATGTAGATATATGAATGTTGTAGAAACAAAAAAGTGTAAGATAGTTTAAAACGTTTTGTGCCACCCACTAGCGAGATCCGAGTAAAATGTGGCACCGGTTGTATTTATATACATATGAATCCATCACAACGTTGTGCTCTAGCACTGGGTCTAGGATACTTGGAACATCATTTACCAGTAGCATTCGCGTGCAACTCCGTCTGCATGTACAAAACAAAAGTAAAACTATTTGTTCTTCAGACAATGCTCTACATATATGGCAAATTTCGAGTCGAGATTCGTTCAGTCCTTTAGGCGAAAACTTAGAAACACCAATCCGTCTGACCGTGCACATTATACTTCATACTAATATTATGCGAGAGTTTACATGGATGAATGGATGTTTCTTAAAGTTTGTAGCCTAAAGGCCTGATCGGATCTCGATGAAATTTAGCACATGCAAAACGTAATCGGGAAGAACGTATAGGCTACTTACCTTTTTTAACACTTCGCGGACGGAATCGCGGGCAAAAGCTAGTTTATAATATGATTGAGATGTGTGTGTGTGTGTGTGTGTTTGTCAGAAAATGAAGCGCACCGTGGCGGAGGTGCTGGTGCCGGGCGTGCTGCGGCTGTACGCGCACCTGCGGCCGCGCGGCGGACAGCTCGCCGCCTACCTCGTGCGCCTCGCCACCGACCTGCTCGCCGACTACCGCCACGAGGTACTGCTCTGCTCGCCGCTTCTATACACCACTGCCCGTTCTCTAATAATAATAAGAGCTTAAAATATTCTTTGTCAAAAAAATTGTTTCAATAGATCGAGGAGTTGATCCAGCTGGACGAGGAGCTGGTGCAGCGCATCCGACAGTTCCAGGAGACGATCGGGCTGGAGCCGTCGTTCGGCAACGCGCGCAACCTCGTCACCGCCTCCGCGCCGCCCGACCCCGACACGCCGCGCGCGCCGCGCCGCCGCCCCGCGCCGCGCCCCGCGCACCACGCCCACCACACGCCCAAGCGCGCGCTCCGCATATAGACTGCCTCTTATTGACGTAATGGAACTCCGGTACTTGGCTTGATGTTTAATAAGTATTCGTTATTGTAGTTGTATTAACAATCAATTGATTAGCTCGAGATAGGATGCATGGCCGCGCAGCGACAGACGAAGAGCAACAGAGAATGAATGTCCAATAGGGATGTCCGTATGACGTTGTTGCTAGTGATGTCTGTAGTCGATCATTAGGGATCACTATGAAGGTGACATAGGCACCAACATAGACAAATATACTATTAGGGTTGTAATGGAGGTCGTTTTAATAAAGCGGATGCGGACGTTAACAGGAGCAGAGACGGTGGTGGATAGTAAAATATTAATTGTTATATATTAAAGAAATAAATAGTAACACAGTTCAGTAATGAAATAAAAAATATATCCACCAATAACAATCGAATCTCAAAGGTAAACATGCGTGTACAAATCGAAAATGTGTAACTGCTATCACACTGCTGCCACGCTTCTCTTGCGTTACGACGTAAATTAACCTTCGTTATAACTCCGCTTTAGAAATAACGGAGGCGGAGAGCTATTGTTTCTTGCGGAAGTTACGCCCTTGCAGAAGCGGAGACGGAGTTCCGTTACATCCCTACTATTTATTTAACTATGAGTTAGTTATGAGTGTAGTAAGGTACATCGCTAGAGAGAGATGGATGGATTGCATGAAAGGTGACATGGTCAAGAAGGGAGTGACTGAGATGATCAATTATAGATTTATTTGGAGGACGATAAC